TTCAAAAAAACCCTGGATCCGCCCTTGGTGACCCATTTGGGCCCACGGCTGTTTTCTGGGTGCCAATCAATGTTTGATATGCCCTTGTTAACACAAGTGAAGTGCATCATCTTTCTTGTGTTCACAAGTGAAGTGCATCATGTAACCCATTTGGGCTCACGGCTGTTTTCTGGGTGTCTAATAGATATTTAGTAAGCCCTTTCTTGTGTTCACAAGTGAATTCGAAGTGCATCCTGTATCCATTTAAGCCCCCGTCAGTGTTCTGGGTCTTGCTACTACAGTATTTCAAAATCTGTGTTAGTGAAATCCTTGTAAGATGTTTTGCTGTGTATGGATTCAAAATCACCTTGAATATTTAATTCTCCGTTATTATCTTCAGATTACAGTGACTACAAGTACGCTAAGTTTCATTTTGTTGATCTGGCTGGTTCCGAACGAGCCGTTAGGACAGGCAATGTTGGAGAGAGGTTCAAAGAATCTGTGCAGATAAACAGTGGATTGTTGTCTTTGGGAAATGTTATAAGTGCATTGGCAGACCACAGGAAAAAGGTAATACACAGCTGTTACCTTCAAATTTTGTCCAACCACAAAAACACGTCCAGCTTAGATCAAATGCAGGTCACAACTATATCACATATCAAATTGGAATTTAGAGTGCTGGGTTTCAAAATGGATAAAAACTTCCCTTGGATCAAGAGACCTAAAAATATCTACATGTACTTGTTGATACTATAATATTATGTAAGCCAAGTTCAGGAATTGAACCAGAGTTTGGACCAAAGAAAATCAAGGGTGGCATTGGTAAAATCCAGGGTATTATTAATTTAACTAGATTATTTTGTTTCCAATACACAAAGGCACTGCATGTGCCATACCGTGATAGCAAGGTAACTCGCTTACTGAAAGACTCTCTTGGTGGTAATGCAAGGACGGTCATGATCACCTGTCTCAGTCCTGCTGAACAAGATTTTGGTGAAAACCTGAATTCCCTAAAATATGCTACCAGGGTAAGTTAATAGACCTCTGAAGAAATTTGACGTTTTAACTGTTATTAATATGGAATAATTGTCAATTTGATTACTTCTGTAGGCTCGAAATATTCGCAACAAACCTATTATAAACAGAGATCCACAGAACACAAGACTGGCAGCTATGCAACATCAGATTATAGTAAGAATATTATGTAGTAAAATAAGATGTTACATTAGGCAATGTTCCTTATGACTTATGACTGAAAATACAAATGATTAATGTGGGCGTCAGGTGCAAGGGCGGATGCAGCTAAAATTTTAGGGGGGGGCGCTAATTGAGTTAGCGGCTGTATCAGCAAAATACGTTTACAATTGTTTTGCTCTGTGTAGTGAAAAAAAGCAACAACAACAAAACAAATAAAAATCAATACTTTTATGATATTGCATAAAGATGATTAGGATTATTAACCCATTTTATCGAAATAATTATATGAACATTTATACATACAGAATATATATGGACGTATGACGTGCATGTGTGGAATATGTGAATATAGATATTATGCACATACATAAACATACGTATATATTCGTAACTTATTTGGATTTAAGTTGATGTGCAATTATGTACAAAATGCCAAATAAGATATGTCTGTCTGTCATGTCTGTCTGTATCCACCTTTGAGGTGGCATAATTAATTGTCACCAGTTGTAATCATGATAAAATTAAGGTAAATTATACAACGTGAAAAGATGAAAAAACTTATTGACCTTTAGGACGCTATACTAGTCCTTCATATATCATTAGAGGGACGAGTGTAAGGAGTGAGAGCAGTGGTATGATCAATATGAAATACGAAAATTTGCAAATGGCATGATCGATAACATGAGCAGGATAATTACGCTTAAGGAAGAAGGAATGCATTTCAGAACATTTAACAGAAAAATCAAGATCATCACTACACAAATCATGAAGACGAAGAAATTGCGAGAACAGAATAGCGTTAAGAGTGTGATTACAAGACCAGTAGAGTAAATAAGAATGAGAGTCAGTAGGTTTGTAATGGACACTAGAGTGCTAAGATGCATTCCTATCATCCTATTAATAACTCCATTAAACCCATTGTTAACCGCAACTTTTCTCTGATTGACTCTTATGCTATTTTCAACAACCGCCCTCTTTTTTCTTATAAACGGGATCGTAATCTTAGTTCTTTTGGTCAAGGGAGTTCTTCCCTCTGACAAAGAACCTGGTCCTTTTCGCTGCTCTTGCAGACGTTGTTATACTTGTCCTCATATAGCCTCTCACACTTCTGTTGTCGGTCCTAAATCCACTGTTAAAATCACTGACCACTTTGTTTGCACCACTTCTAATGTTGTATGTTGTACCAAATGTACCCGCTGTAATCTTTTGTRTGTGGGCGAGACTGGCCGCCGTCTGGAAATGTCAGTAAGTTTTTTCATCTTTTCACGGTGTATAATTTACCTTTTTATCATTACAGTTTCATTAAAAACACCGACACAGCTCATACTAGTTTTTAGCTAGTTATCTCATCTTGTTACTATTCTTGTTATTATTTTGCTTGATCATATTTTAGGCATTACGCGAAGAGTTAGAAAAGCGTAGGCTCACAACAGTATCAAGTACTGACGATAAACAAAAAGTGGAGAAAACAGAGGAAAAACTACAGAGGTAGAGGAGATGAAATAGAATGTTCATAATAACTAGGGGGCTGAGTAGGGAGACATCTCTTTTGTACTTGTTTTATTGTTAGCCAATGGGTGAATAACCATGAATTACCATGTCATGACAAATGGTACGAACATGTTCCTAGTGTCATGGAGAACCATGAATTCAAGTTGCTGTGGGATTTTACCATCCAGACAGATAGAATATTATCCAATCTAAGCCTGCGATACATAGGCGGAGTGCTGGTTGAGAAGGAATCCGATGAGATCTGAATTATCGATATACACTGTAGCTGTGCCTGCTGACAGAAGAATTGAGTTCAATAAGCTTGAGAAAATAGAAAAATACCAATAAAGATGGAAGACAAAAAATAAAGTAGTACCAGTGAGAATAAAAGATTTTGTACATAACTATCAGTATTAATCTGCAATCTTAGGAACTGCCAGAATATTAAGGAAAGTCTTTATGAAAACTTTATGAACCTTATAAACGAAAAAAGAAAAACAAAAATAGAGCACTTGGGTAAGGTTAGATTATGGTATGTCAGTTAATATGCCAGTTTGAAGTCTTAGGTCTTGGGAAAAGACCAGCGACTAGTACTTTTACCAGGAAAAAATTGTATTATATCTGATTATACTGAGGTTGGAATGCAAATTGCTAACAAGAAAGGAGAAGATTATGCAACCACTGCAACCTTTCTTTCTCTGATATCAGCTCTTCTGTGCCTTAAAGGTTCAAGAACCACAATTGGATGTACAGACTGCAATTGCAGAAATTAGCTAGAATTTCCCTCGCATATATGTTTATTTATAGTTTTGCCATTATTTTATAAAGTATATATTATAAGGA